ACACGAAAAGATGTACTATGATAATCAAATAGCAACAGCAAGTTCCTTTCATTTTGTTGATTTATTGCCTCTTTTTCTAATTTTAATTTGTGACACCATTCTCTTCGTTCTTTTTACTGTTTTGTGCATCAAAGAGAAATGAAGTTATAATTTGGCTTGAGGACTTCACCCTGGATTAGCATCTTGAGCGAAGCCATTTCTTTAGAATCTCTGAATGTGGATCCTTTCTTACTAAGGAAACGGTATAGGCACACCTTAAGGATTATGTATTTACATAAGATCCTTGCAATGAGAAGTTGTATAGAATACGAGCTTATTTAATTAATGCTTTTCCTTCCCTTCACTTCTCACGTGTTTCATGACACTCTTTATTTGTATTTTAGATAGAACTAGTTCAGCATTTTGACTTCTATTTTGGATTTATTCTTTTGGTGATGTTCTATGAGAAAGACAGCAATTGTTTTTTTATATATGGACTTTGTATTTATATTCATATTATTGTATTTTATAGCTAAAATTGCACAAGACAGCAGCAATGGTGGGGACTTTACGTTTGTTTTCTTTCAATTTATTTTTCAAGCCTGGATCTGGATCTAGATCTAGATCAGGAGTCTGGATCAATGTAGTGTTGTGTTATTAGTACTTATTTAATGATCAATATCTGGATTTTAGCTATGATTAGTGGTACTCATTTTTTGTTTTTATGGTTGAGTCTGCCCCTCGAAACTCCAAACCATAGACTTTTAAAGCAGACAAATGCACCCCAAGCTGATTAACTTGAAACACTTGTTTGAACATCTGTGACCTGATGGCAATGCCTGCCAGTCGATGTTTAGCTCAGATTCTCCGACCTACCTCCATCACTGGTGATGGTGTTACCCCTCGGCAAGTCAGCACTGCCAGGCCTCTCTATCCTCCTGAAATTTTTAAGCCAAGAAAAATAGCCGTCAGTGCTACTGCTCTCCAAAAGCTCAAGTGGGCCTGTAGTCTCAGCCTCGGGGAACAAAGCACCCCTGAACCAACGGTGGACGGGGAACGGTTGGTGGATTTGTTGTGCGATAATCTCCAACATATGTTTGATGATCAGGGGATTGATTCGACAGTGTACGATGAGCAAATAATGTTCAGGGATCCCATCACTAAATATGATACACTTACCGGATATCTCTTTAACATTCATCTCCTGAAGGTCCTCTTTAGGCCACAGTATCATTCGCACTGGGTCAAACAGGTTAGATTTCCTATAGTTTACCTCGAAGTCTTATTATGACATTATTAAGTGCGCCTGTTTTGTCCAATTTCTGGAAAAAGTTTCTCTAGAAACAGCCAGACTATATATAGTTTTCTTAAAGGACCTGTTTGGTCTAGCTAGTGATAGTCGAAATACGGTAGTTGATGGTTATTATTTATAATTCAAACATTAAACCAAACGGGACACTTCTGAATTTTCTAATAACTGAATTCAACATGAAAGAGCTAGAAAATGAGGCTATCATTTTATACTCTGAGCTTTATAAAGCTTCACTTGTACTATAGAAGCACTTATTCAAATGATTGTCAGTAGATATATAGACAGGGCCTTATGAAATAACCACGAGGTGGACAGCAGTAATGAAGCACGTCCTTTTGGTGAAACGGAAGGAAGTTTTAAGATGCTTATGAAGACTGCTAATAAATTTTCCTTAAACAGAACTTTTATAGGGAAACATGAATGTGGGGATCTACATTCAAGAGTATTGTGGAATATTTTGTGAAACAGAGGGAAATTCTCATAACTAACACAAATATGGGTGAGTCTAACAAAATACGGAACAAGATGAACAGAGTATAAATTGTACTTTTTTGTGTAAAAAAAAGAGTCCACATAGGTCGTGCTTTGTTGCATATATTCTTGCTTGTCAATGTTTTAAGTAAATGTAAGATAAAGGGGTAGCTTTTGCTTAAAAATGAATTGCAACTTTTGATCTGAATAAAACAAAAAAAAAAGAAAAAAAGAAAAAAGAATTGCAACTAATTTATTGAGTATTTAGTTTCAACGGTCTAAAAGAGTAGTTTTGCTATCGATTGATGCTGCTTCAGTAGAAGAGATTCTATTGTTATTTCTTCAAGCTCATAGACGTATATTCTAAGGTTCTTAAATCTCAACTACCCTTTTGATGAATACTTCACAATTTGTATTCACTGGTTGGGTTGCTATAGACAGGACCTTATGAAATTACCACGAGATGGACTGTGATAATGAAGTTCATCCTTCTGCCATGGAAACCAGAGCTTGTCCTCACTGGAACCTCCGTAATGGGTGTAAACCCAAAGAATGGGAAGTTTTGCAGCCATGTGGTAAGGCTTGTTTCTCTGATTGTTCTTTTTGCACCACTTTTGATAAAAGCTGAAAATATCTAGAAATGTTTACATGATATCTTATGCGTAGGACTATTGGGACTCTATAGAGAAAAATGATTATTTTTCACTTGAAGGTTTGGTGAATGTAATTAAGCAGGTATAGGTCTATGTTTGCTCAAAATGCCATTATGATTATATCTTGTATCTTGTATGTATGTGCAATTTTGAGTCCCTTCTGATGTCTAGAGTGTTATTCTTTGCAGTTGCGAATTAATAAGACTCCTGACTTGGAGACTCCCAAATACCTGATACTGAAAAGGACTGCAAATTATGAGGTTACTTGTATCTCTTCAGATAAAAGTTGTTGCTGCATATTCAATATTTACTCTTCCTGCTATTCTATAAATTTGCACTTAGACAAACCAATGTGCAATCTGAATTGATTGGTACGTCGGGTTTTCTTATGAATGTAAAACATTCACATTTATATCTTTAACAATTATAGCATACACTCATAATTCAAAATAAAACTATCTTAAAATTATCAAGGAGAAGAAATAACTGTTCAATCTTAAGTATGATCATTTTAAAGAATGAGTCATCATATATCTATATATATATATATATTTGATTGGTTTCCAGAAGTGATGCTTCAGGTAGCTACTAAAATCACTCAATAGACGTGAAAGTGAACTGCTCGCTATGAGACAAGGCTAGTGCCACTAGGGAAAAAAAATGGTCATCATCTGGGATATGTGTGCAGTCACATTTTGAATGCCTTATATATGATTTTATACTCATTGAAATCTTTTCAAGTGGTAAGAAATCAAATACCATGAAAATACCATGTAAGAGTGGTAAGAAATCAAATTTCATTATTGACATAACAGGATAAGTGCCTACTTAACATGCCCCTATATTTCTTATAGGTTTAAAAGATTGGGAGTTTCAGAGTTTCTCGTTAAGTAGTTATGGTCCACAAAGAGCCACTAACAGATAATGTAGTCTGTTGTGATGTGTACAAGATTCTGTAAAACTCCTCCAAGTAATCTAATAATTTCCAATGCAAGTGGATAAACATAATTCATATAATCATAATTGATGTGATTCCATGTTGACCCTTCTTCTAGATTCTGCTTCTATTGTTTCTTCATTTATTTCAACGGATGTAAAAGTTTGCATTTAATTTCTGATTTGTATGATTTTAAATGTCATGGTATGCCAATATTTTCTGATATCTGGAGTGGGCCATCATACTTGTGCTTCTGGTTGTATTTTTGAGAATATGAGATATTGAGAATGCCTAGATAAATAGCATTTAAATGCTATATGGTATGCAGGTGAGAAAATATGCAGGATTCACGGTGGTAGAAACAAATGGAGACAAGCTCCCTGGGTCGACTAGCTTTAATGATGTTGCTGGGTGAGAATCTTCTGCAGTCTGCAGATTAATCAGATTGTTTTTATTTCTCTTCCTCGTTCCCTACATGCATGATAAGATATAGATTTCGTCAGTATAGGTATGTCTTCGGGAAAAATTCTACAATGGAGAAAATACCAATGACTGCGCCTGTCCTCACTCAGGCTTACAATGCTGAGTTGTCAGATGTGTCCATCCAAATTGTTCTTCCATCAGATAAAGATATCAGTAGGTAAGGTTCGTAAGTTAAAGTTTGTTTTAAACATAATAATAAACGTGGAAAATTTTATTTGGCAATAAATCTTGTAAACTTCCATTCTATCATTTCACAGCTTGCCCAATCCTAGTCTAGAGAAAGTTATCTTGAGGGAAGTTGAGGGAGGTATTGCTGCAGCATTGAAATTCAGTGGAAAACCGGCAGAGGACATTGTTAGGGTGAAAGAGAGAGAATTGCGCTCTAGTCTTCTTAGAGATGGTCTTAAACCTAAGAAGGCCTGCTTGCTAGCTTGCTACAATGATCCTGGTCGGAAATGGAGCTTTACAGTGGTAATGATCTGTATTTGTCTTAAAGCATGTTATTGTCTGCTTCTGTGAGCTTTGATTGTTTTGGTTCTTCCATTTTCTTGGTCCTGCTTAACTTGGACTTTGAGTTTGGTCATCTAGAGCTGAAGTTGTGATTCAATATGTGAATTGTGAAATGTCGAAAAAGATAAATAATTTAAGTAGCATTTTCAGTTCAACTTTAAAATAATTCCTCTACACAAAAAGATGTACCATGATAATCAAATATGGCAAGTTCCTTCCATTTTGTTCATTTATTGCCTCTTTTTCTCATCTTAATTATTGACACCATTCTCTTCATTCTTTTCACTGTTTTTTGAATCATAGAGAAATGAAGTTCTAATTTGGCTTGAGGAGTTCACCCTGGATTAGCATCTCAAACAAATCCATTATTTTACAAGCATTGAATGTGGATCGTTTCTTATTAGGGAAATGGTATAGGCATACCTGTTGGAACTGTTCTAGATAAGCATGCCATCAAAGTTCCTATGTTGCTGTCTGGTTAAGTCTATTTATTTGTTATTTGAATTTAATTTAGTTTGTTTGCAATTTGAATTAGTTTGTTGCAGTTTGTCTAAGTGTTTTTAAATTTATAACAGTTTGTTTAAGTTTGTTTGTATTGGATAACTGTTGAGATACTTTTGTAACTACCCTTATCTGTGTATTTAAGTATTTTTCATAATGAAAATTGTTGTTGCTTTTACACTCAATTTCTCCTTTCTTAGTTTCATTTCCTTCAATTGGTATAAGAGCCTTTCTGATCCGTGAGGGTCTGTGAGGTTTTAGCACCAATATTTGAGAGAGTTCAAGCAAAATCATTGAAGCAAAATCATTGAAGCAAGTATCAGTTTCACTGCAAAGGCTCCTTTTTTTGTGGCCAAAATTATCAAGTTTGGTCAATTAAAATGAAGGTATATTTGAGAGCATTTGACCTCTGGGGTGCTGTTGAGCATGGCATTGATCCACCCCCTTTGCCTAGAAATGCAACTTTGAACCAAATAAGGCACTGACCACTATTCATTTTGTAGTGTTTGAAGAAATTTTTACAAGGATTATGACTCATGAAACGGCAAAGGAGTCCTGGGATAAACTCAAGGAGGAGTTCTAGGGAGATACAAAGGCAAAGTAACTTCAGGTGGTAAGGTTCTCAGGATGAAAGAAACAGAGACTGTGAAAGATTTTTCTGACAAGGTGATGAATGTGGTGAATCAGATCAGAATACTTGGTGAAGAGCTTACAGAGAAGAGGATTGTAAATAAGGTTCTTGTGAGTTTCCTAGAGAAATTTGAGCATAAAATTTCTTCTTTGGAGGACTCAAAGGACATGACACAGATGACACTTTCCGAACTTGTGAATGCACTTCAAGTTGTTGAACAAAGGAAAGCAATAAGGGAAGAAGCAGAAGGTGTTGTTGAAGGTGCTTTAATTGCAAATGAAAGAAGAAAGGGTCAATTCAAAGAAGATGATGAAGAGAAGCAATTTCTTGATTGAAGTGGAAAAGAGAAGAGAGATTTTCAGAAGGGCCAACAAAGTAGCAATTATAGAGGCAAGAAAGAGCTTTATCCTCCATGTCCACACTGTGGAAAGATGACTCATTCAACAACTTACTGTTGCTTTAAGCCTGGTGTCAAATGCAGGTCATGTAAGCAATTTGGCCATGTTGAAAAGGTTTGCAAAGCTAAGGCAAAACAATATGAGAAAGCTCAAGTTGCTAAGAATGTGGATCAGGAGGTAGGAGAGTTGTTTTTGGTTGCTATGGTTGAGAGCAATTCATCAACGTTTTTGGGTTCAAATTCTTGGCTCATTGATAGTGGATGTACCCATCATATGACTTCAAATTTGGCCATTTTTAAGGCACTTGACAGATCCTACTTTTCAAAGGTCAGACTTGGAAATGGAGAACTTGTTGAGGTGAAAGGAAAAGGGACAGTTACTATTAATACACCAACTGGTATTAGGTACATTTGTGATGTTTATATGTGCCTTGCTTGAGCCAAAATTTGATTAGTGTTGGTCAGTTATTAGAGAATGGTTATTTAGTGCATTTTCATGATGAACGTGTTGATGGGGTTGATAAACTTGGTGTAAAATTATTTACTGTTAGTACGAATCATAGAAATTTTGTTGTTATTTGGAACCAAACTAAAATTAAAGCACAAACTACTGTTGTGGATGAATATGAGAAATGGCATGAGAGGTTTGTTCATTATAGCTATGCTTCATTGAAGTTTCTACAAAACAAAAATATGATTGTGGATATACCCATGATTCATGAGTTTGATGGTGTATGTGGTGTAAGTCAAAAGGGAAATTTTAGTAAGTTCTCTTTTGTAGTGAACAAGGCTTAGGGAGCTACAAAAAAGCTCCATTTTGTTCATATTGTTTGTTGTGGTCTAGTGCAGATCTCATCAATAAATGGCAACAAACTTTCGTTATTGTTTATTGATGATTTCAGCGGAATATATGAGCTGGGTTTATTTCTTGAAGTAAGTATTCAAAGTTTTTGTTGTGTTTGTGGAGCTTTAAGGCTTGCTAAAAAGAAAAACGAGGTGCATATTCTATATTACAGCTCTGAAGATCAGTTAGCAAACTTTTTCACCAAACCTTTGCCAAAGAAAAGGTTTGAAGAATTGAGAGATAAACTCGACATTTGTAGCTTTGTTGCCAAGGAGGAGTTTGTTAGAACTGTTCCAGATAAGCACGCCACCAAAGTTGCTCTGTTGCTGTCCGATTGAGTCTATTTATTTGTTATTTGAATTTAATTTAGTTTGTTTGCAGTTTGAATTAGTTTGTTACAGTTTGTTTTAAGTGTTTTTAAGTTTATAGCAGTTTGTTTGTATTAAATAACTATTGAGATAGTTTTGTAACTACCCTTATATGTATATTTAAGTATTTTTCATAATGAAAATTGTTGTTGCTTTTGCACTCAATTTCTCCTTTCTTAGTTTCATTTCCTTCAATACCTTAAGGATAATGTACTTGCACAAGATCCTTGCCATGAGAAGTTGTATAGTAAAAGAGCTTGTTTAATTAATGTTTTCCCTTTCCTCCCCTTTCTGCGTGTTTCACACACTTTCTTTTCTTGTTTTAGTCGTAGGAGTTGCAGTGTCAAAGCTGCAACACAGTGGTAGCAAATGAAAAAAACTGAGAGTTACAACAATAGCATAGTAACAGCTAAGTGATAGTTACATGAAGTTGCACAAATTACTGTGTTAGGTAGAAAAATTTACTGTATTAGGTAGAAATTAGTGGTTATGTATCATGAGGTTTCTACTATATTATGGCAGAAGATGAATGAAGGAAACTGAGTTTTCACCTCACCAAAAGAGGGAAGTCTGGGTGTCACTGCTTCTCCTCAAAGTCCTCTCTCCCCCTTTTTTACCACTAAAATTCCATCATTAGGTGTATTTTGGATACAGCTAGTTTAGCATTTTGACTTCTGTTTCGGATTTCTTCATTTGGTGATGTTCTGAGAGAATGAGAGCAATTGTTTCTTTATGTATCTGCTTTGTATTTATATTCATATTATTGTATTTTCTATCTAATTAAGAGCATGTTTGGTTCAGTTTCCAAGTGCTTCAGCTTTTTGAAACTATGCATGTTTTATAAGTTTAAATTTCCCTCTTAAAAACTTATATTTTTAAACTTTTTTTTTAACTTTAAAAAAATTCTAAACAGTAAAAACTCGAAAGTTTTAAACTTTTTCTTTTCATATATTTCTTTTTTATTCAATTTTTACTCACTTTTTTGTTGTACATATGATTTTGATGATTACAAAACACATTTGAGTGACTAATTAGCTCATTTGAGTGACTAATTAGCTCATTTAAGTGTGTAGTTAAAATGTCAAAAGATTGTAAAGTAAGTAAACTTGGACTGTACTAAAAATAGACAAAAAGGCTTGAAAATGTGCAGAGAGCCGGCTGTTGAAACTTGCAGCCGGCTGTTGAAACTTGCAACCGGCTGTAGAAGTGCAGAGAGCCGGCTTTGAAAGTTGCAACTAGCTTTACGGGTAAAAAGTTAAAAGCAAGTTGTTTGGTGCGCGCGGAGAAAAGATGCAAAACCGGCTCCAACTTTGCAGCCGGCTGTGAGGGTGCATTTAATGCACAATTGTCGACTTTTTTGAATGTATTTAAAATTGTAATTCCAAAGTCGGCTCAAAATCTTGCAGCCGGCCCTGGAGGAAAATAGAATAGCCTGCAAACCCGGATAATCAGCTCTGGAAGTGTAAGCCGGCTGTGAAGAGTTGGCTCTAGGAAGTTAAGCCGGCTCTCCTGACAGTTCTGCAACTTGAGCCATGCGTCCTACAGAGCATTTAATGACCCCCAATGGCTAGAAATGGCTATTTTCGAGCAAGGGGCTATAAATATGGATCTGAAGAAGTTTGGATTATTTAACATTGCATATCTTTACCTACCTACTTGAACTTAAACTTGAGTTCTTGATCTTTGAGTGATCATTGCTTGTAATCCTCTTCTTGTGCTATTAGTGAGTGATTTTGGGGGTGTGTTGATTCCTTCAAGAGTGATCTATTGAGAGGATTTGTGGGGTTTGTCTTGTAAAGGGGTGAGATTTGAGAGAAACACCTTTATTCTTGTAAAAGGATTAAGTGGTTCCTTTAAGCCACCCTTGTTGTTGTTAGTGGAGAGTGTGGAAGAAATCCTTGGTGAGTGAAGCCAAGGTAAAGGACTAAACTCCAAGTGGTTGGACCGAACCTCTATAAATCATTGAGCAAGCTCTTCTTCTCTACTCTCTTTAATTTGGGTGTTGTGGTTGCTAAAAGGGGAGAATTTTTGGAATTCCAATTCACTCCCCCCTCTTTGGAGTACATTGAGTCAACATTTTTTCTATCTCTATAAGCAATTTTTAAATTTTTTTCTCTAATAAAAATTTAAACTTATCACTTATAAACAATACAAAAAAAAAGTAAAAGCTTTTACAAACTAACCCAAACATGCTCTAAATCAAATTGTATAAATTAAAAAAAATACTTAAAATCACAAGACCCCAGCAACGCCGGACTTTATGCCTCTTTAGTGTCAAATTTATTTTTCAGGTCTGGATCTGGATGTAGAATCTAGATCAGGTAGTGTTGTGTTGTTAATACTTATTTAATGATCAGTATTTGGATTTGTTCTAAATATGATTAGTAGTACTCATTTTTTGTTTTTATGGTTGAGTCAACTCCTCGCAACTCCAAACGATAGACTTTAAAGCAGACTAATGCGCCCAAGCTCATTAACTCAAAACACTTGTTTGAACTCCTGTAACCTTTATGAAAAGCTATCCTTATAATCAGAGCTTTATAAAAAGCTCCAGTTCTATTATAGAAGCACTTATTTGACTGATTGAGTAGCTATGGACAGAACCTTATGAAATAACCCTGAGGTGGACTGCAGTAAGTAATCAAGCACATTCTTTGCCTCCTGGAATCCAGAATTCATCATTACTGGCACCTCTGTAATAGGCATAAACCCAAAGACTGGAAAGTTCTGCAACAATGTGGTAAACAGCTTGTTTCTCTAAAAATCATATTTTTTTCCTCCCCTTTAATGCATCTTAGAACTATACTATATATTTGTGTGTAGGACCTTTGGGATTCAGTAGAAAACAATGATTATTTTTCATTAATTAGAAGGTTTGTGGGATGGAATAAGGAAGGTAAATGCCTTTAAGATTTTTATTTTACTACATGCAATTTAGAGACCCTTTTATTTATATGGTGTCATTGTTTCAGTTGTACAATTTTAATCCTCCTTTGAAGACGGCCAAGTACCAGATACCGAAGAGGACTGCAAATCATGAGGTACTCTTTTGTATTATTAAGTGAAAAAATACTACATCAAATTCTATATTTTCAAGATTATTTATGAGAAATGATGACCATGTGAGTGCCTGGAAATCATGTAATATTATCATTTAAATTCTCTATGCACTAGGTGAGAAATTATGATCCATTCACAATGGTAGAAACAAATGGATACAAGCTCTTAAGGTCAACAGGCTTTAATGATGTTGGTGCGTGAGGGTTTGGAATCCAATTCTGATTTCAGGACATTCATTTCATTTTTCCTTTTTCACTTGTTTGGCACGCATGATATGGATACGGGTTTTGTCAGTATAGGTTTATTTTTAGGAAGAATTCTACAAGGGCAAAAAACATACCGATCTTCACTCGAGTTTCTGATGTTGATCAGTTTTCAGAGGTATACATCCAAATGGTTACCATCGGATAAAGATATAAACAGGTGAAGTTTATAAATTTCCTAGCTGAACTGTGAAAATGGAAGACTTTCTTTGGCAATAAAAAAATATTGTGAATTTCCATTCTACGTGCATGGTTGCACTTCTCGCTAAAAAAAGGTTAGCTTGAGAGACGTTGAAGGAGGTATTGCTGTAGCATTGAAGTTCAGCGGGAAACCAACAGAGGATATCATTCAAGAAAAATAGAAAATACTCTGCTCTAATCTTCTTAGAGATGGTCTTAAACCTAAGAAGGGCTGTTTGCTTGCTTGCTATGATGATTCAGGTCGGACATGGAGTTTTGCAATGGTAATGATCTAGTGATTTATTCAATTTATTTTATTTTTTCAATTTCTTAACACTGTTATATTGATTTATTTTAGTCTTCTTGTCTACTTGGTTGCATCTTCCGATACTCAATAATATGTGCTATGATTGATCTAAAGAGTTGTAATTTAATTGGTAAAGAAGTTTGTTCTTAATCATCTTTTATTAATTAAGTTTCAATTTTTTTAATGAGACTAATGAGAAATTAATTTTTTATGAATTTTTTAATTTGATGTAAATAATTTACCTTTGATAAAACTATAAAAAATTTAGTCTTAAAATACAAGCAACACAAGCAAGCTAATCGCCCTGACCGGCTGCTCCAAAACTTGAATCCTAACAAGAAAACATTTAATCACTCACCAATATTAGATCGATCCTTTAGGATTAATTAAGAACTACATTACTTTTATCCACGTCAATTAACCTTTTTCTGTTATATCATTGCGCAGTTGCCTATCTCCATGGTTCCTATATCGGTTTCCTTCTAGATGCTTTTTACGTCCTTTTCTCCTTTGATCTCCATCAATCACAGTTATGATGGATCATGAGAAGTCCTACCTTCACATATAGATACACGGTGAAGACAAGAAGGGA